CACCCAGCATCTTCCCTAAAAGGGGCCAGCTCTCTGGCTCTGCAATGTGGGGGGAGGGGAGACTGTGCATGAAGCGGCTGAGGCCTCCTCGGCCACCCCCAACCTCGGCCTGCTCTGTGGTCCAGATCCTGCCTGCACTCTGCTGGCCAGGGCTGACACATTCCCCAGGGACCTCAGACACCTCCCACTTTGGGGTGGGGGTGGGGCAGAGCCAAGGAGCAGAGTGGAGCTGGGGTCCCATCCTCCCCCACCCTGACTCCCTCAGCTGGCCTAGCCTGCTCCTCCCATCAGGCCAAAAGTGCCTGGCCTAGCCACTGCCTCGGTGTGGCCTAGAGGTTTCTGGACCTCTCTGGGCTCCTAGGGCTGCACCCCTCCCAGAACTCCCATACACCTTCCATCTTGAGGGCATCCCAGGCGTGGCCCACTGCCTCCCAAGGCGATGGGATGTCCAGGAATACAGCATCGGCCACGTGGCTCACGCCAAAGCCACTGCGGCACACGTCCTGGGTGTGTACGGTCACCCAGCGGCCCACACGGTGCTCCTGGAACTCCTCCCGAGCCTTCTCTGCCCGCTGCTGGTGGAACTCCACTGTGTGCAGGTGGCCCGTGGGGGCGATGGTGCGGATGATGGCGTGGGACACAGAGCCACTGCCAGTGCCTGGAGGGATGAGATGATACCATGTCAGGTGGGACTGCCCGGGGCCCACAGCCAGCTAGGAAACACCCCCATCCTCACCATGGAGGGACCTGCAAAGGGACCAAGAGGTCAGCCAGCCGCAGGCGGGCAGTGCTCCCCAAGCTACCTGTCTAGGCCTGGCTGCTCCGAGCCCTTGGTTTGCACCACGAGTTGGGATGGACTGTGTCTGTCATGGCATAAGCGAGGACAAAGCAGCCCTGACCAGTCCTAGCCTGGTGCAGGCCCCCTGCACAGGAACAGCATGGACAGTGGGCTGACAGGAGCCGACTGGCTGGAGGCCTTGCAGTGAGTCTGGACAGAGCTGACCAAGAGGCCTTGGCCCGTCCCCTCCCCCAGCCCCACCACCCTCCGTGCAGTGGCTGAACCTTTGCTCCCTGTCAGGGGCGGCCCACCCTGTTTGGTCCTCATGCCCCACATTCTCTCATGAGCTTCTTATCCCACTCAAGTCAGCCCTTCCCCCAACCAGCCTGATGCCAGCCCAGACGGGGACAGCGTGGCCACTGAGGCAGAGCAAATGACATTCCTCCCTCCCAAACCCACTCCCACCACCCAGACCAGGGCTCTGTTCTGGCCTGGCTCGGCCTCAGGGCACATGGTATGACAGACCACCTGCCCCACAGCTGTGCTCTCCCAATGTCACCTTCTCCCAGTATCCCTCCTCAGCTTCCTTCAGGGCCACCCCCTGCTTAGCTTCCTGTCCTGCAGTGCACAGTCCAGGACCTGCATTCCCCCACCTGCCCCCCACCCCACAGCCTCAGATGCCCCCACTTGACAACCCCAGGCCTCGTCCCTCCACTCCAGATTCCTCCTGTAGCAGCCACTGCACACTCGCCACCTCCCTCAGCACCCAGCAGTGCTCAGCATTGACAAGAGCAAAGCCAGCCTGGTCCAACCCAAATCCACTCGCTGCCAAGGCTTCCCAGGCCCAGTCAACGACACCCACTGCCCAGGCCAGATGCCGTGGAGGGACCCTTGACTGCCCTTCCCACTTAGAGGAGTCAGACTCCTGGTGACCCTCTGAGGGGTACCCCCATTTCTTCCTCAACTCCTGCTCCAGCCAATCTGGCCTCCTCGCTGACCCTGACTGGGTGGCATGCTCCCACCTCAGGGCCTTGGCAGGGCTCTCCCTTGGTGCAGAACTCTCCCTTGGCTCTTGGCAGGTACCTCCTTGTCATTTTCAATTCAAATGTCCCCTCCTCAGGGAGGTCTTCCCTGACTGACCCCCCTCTGAGTCACCCCCACACCCACAGCCCTGTCTTACAATCTGCACAGCAATCAATGGCACTCATCGGTCATCCAGGCTTACTGTCTGTGCCCCTCCTTGAGGGCGGGAACTTGCTCTGTCTTGTTCACAGTTCCTAGAAGGGGACCTGGCTTACCACAGAAGCCAGAAGCGTGCTGACTGACTACATGCATTAAGGGCCCAGAGCTGGCGCATGGCCGCAGGCTGCATGGGAGCAGCAGCTGACGGAGCTCACTTGCTGCCCTCGCCCCCACCCTGCTCAGGGACAGGACAGCTAGAAGCCCTCAGCAAGTAAGCAGCAGTGGTGATAGGAGCTCTCTGAGACCCTGGATCCCAGCTCCCCAGCCCGCAGAAAACACACCAGAAGGAATCTAGCCGCATCTGGACCTGGGGTCATTCTTGGTCAGCTGCAAGCTTCGGTGTGACAGTGTGCTCACATTCACTAGTGGTAGGTGAGGTCCTGGCTGTGCATGAGCACACGCTCCCCACCTACAATGTGTTCCCTCCAGGAAGGGGCAATTCCCGCCCTCACTATCAGCATAGGGACTAGGGATTGGTAGTCAGCACCTTGGTCAGCGCCAAACACCAATCTGGCCAGCCCCTCCAAGGCAAGCAGGACCTTCTCTGGGGCACCACCTCCTCCCCAGGTTACCCTGGTCCAGCCCCCAGCACTTGTCACTTGGATTACAGCACCAGCCCCCTAACAGGCTTCTCTGCCTCTGCCCTCACTTCTTGCAGTCAGCCTCCCAAAATGATGCTGCTAAAATAGAAATCAAGGAGCTGCACCTGTCTGCAAGAAGGGCTGGAGGCTGTCTGGACATGGGATCTGACCTCCACCTGTGCATCACTGTCTCAGAGTTAGAACTGAGGCAGCCTGAGGAACTTACCGGACTCACAGACCACAGAGCCGGGCCGAAGCTCCAGCATCATGGTGAGCAGGGCAATGTCAGTGGAGTAGAGGATCTGTGTGCGGTGCGGCAGGTTCAGCGTCCAGAGCTCAGGCGTGGGATGCAGCACGTACACCCAGCCACCTCGGCCACAGGTCACCTTGGAGCCAAAGGGGCGGCCAATGAGGTCAACTGAGTGCCGCAGGACACCGTGCCGGGTCTGGGTCTGCGCTCCTCGCTGCACGCGCACCGCCACCATTGCGCCATGGCCCAGTGACAGGATGGCGGTGTCACCCTCTTTGATCAGCTCCTCATAAGCCACGAAGCTCATGGTGTTAATGTCTGGCAAGTGCCAGGAACCTGGAGAGGGGCGTGTGTGGGTATGAGCAGGTCAGGGAGCCATGAGGCAGGATGTGGAGCTGGGGTCTGGGTGGAAGGCTCTGAGGCCCAGATCCTGAGCATTGGGGGTGGTAGTGGGTGGCTGGCCCAACCCCTGGCACTGCCTCACAGGGCAGTCCAATAGGGCTGCACTCTGGCTTGACATCTGAAGCCCTTCTTGGTCTGGGACATGAGCCAGGGTCCATAAGCCCAAATCAGAGATGGAGAGACTGAGGTTCGCTGTGGCAGAAGCGGCCCGAGGATTCCCACAAAGTAAGGACCCGACCCTCTCGTCACCCTTCCCCAGGAGCCTGGCTCCCATTCCCGGGGGGGAGATGAGAGAAATTGGCCTTCGGGAGGTGTCCACCAGCGGGGGAGCAGCAAAGGGTCCGTGAGGTCCCCTCCGAGCCAGCCGTGATTCTGTGGAACCCCCTTCCCTCAGTCTCCCCTCAAGGCGGGCTTCTGGGAGGACGGATGGCAGGGGGTGCAGGAGGGGTATAAAGGTCCCACAAGCGTGGGTTGGGGACGTGGAGCGGGCCGTAACCGGAAACACCGGCCCAGCCCGTGCAGAGGCAGGGAGGGGGCCCGGCCGTGGCAGAGGGGCTGGGGCGGCCCACGGGAGGCTGGAGGGACAGAGCGGGCCCCCCGGGAAAGCCCCGAACGCCGCGCCT